GTACTAACAGTTATTCGAGCTGCAAAACGAATAGATCAACAGTTCTTACAACTAAGGTTACACAATCTAGGGACCACGCTGATAGGACTTAGGATAATAGCCTGCGCCCATAATCATCTCACCATCCCAAAAAATTCAATAATGACGAATTTTGGAAAGACACCCACCAGACGCACAAGTTGAAAAAGACGTAACCTGCTATTAGAAGAACAAATTCCCTACGCAACCTCCAAAGTAAACATGAGATTGCTTGTACACGTATCGAAGACCAAAGAAAATCCGAAACCATCGGAATTCATTTCCCCCCCAAGCCTACTTTACACGGGCGGCTAACGAGACATCCGAAAGCTGGTATGCTACAATGTGCATGGTATAATGTTCACCCCTAATCAGCTTTGACAGCTGTTTGAAAGGTTGTCGAGAAGTTTACGTGCTTTGCTACTTCAACTCACTCGCGAACTTTAATCAATTTTTCGTCGGAAAGGGTGCGATGCGCCCCGGTAACACCTAACACTCGTCAAAGGTCATATAACTCTTTTATTATGCAAAGAAACGTCCGCCAATATAATCAAACGCGATAGCAAACAGACGATTGGCTCAACACGGAACTGAACTCCGCCCCCGACACCATTATCATGCCACCATTAATGTGGTGTTCAGAGCAAAAAAATGACCACAGACAGTCATGACAACCGTGGTGTGACACCAACTCAGAATGTTGATAACCCGAACGCTGTTTGCCGTAGAGCGAACAGCAAAGTCTGCGAAAAATGTCTTTAGTTCGTGTGGGCTGGACCAAAGGTCATGCGGGGTTCTGCAAATCCGCCGTTCGCACTACGTGACTTTGACCGGCGAACTGACACGCCACGTTGGAACGCGGCTGGAGGAAGCGAAGACAAAAGATGAAACTTTATTTGGGTCGGCGACACAAACGAGACTGAGGCAAGGAAGACTGAGGAGAGAGAGTCAGAAAGTCACCGGACCGGATGCGGTGAGAGATAACAAGAAACTAAATGCGTAGCGCAGAAGTCTAAATACAAAGTTATTCCCCTGAAAGAATGTAGATTGTCATTGAGAAAAGCGAAATCACAAAAGTGGAGAGAGAATGAGCAAAGAAGCACAACCGCACGGGACGCAACAAGCAGCAGCGGCGGTAAGGTGACAAGATGCACAATGCCACATACTACTAGCACGTTAGTTGCCGCGCATGGATGCTATTGCACAAGTAATGCATATATATATAGAGAGAGAGAGAGAGGAGACAGACGATGATTACGGCGTATCGTTCTACTTCAAGCCCAGAGCAAGACACACACGTGACGGTAGGTAAAGGTAGATGCTGCCACGACGATTGTCCCAGGGTTCATCCTTTGCCGGATAGTCGATAGTTTCGTCGATACGATCGAATCCGCCGAACTCCTTCCGATCGGAATTCAGAACGATGTAGTAGCTAAAACAACAGCAAAAAAACGTTTGAACAACTGCAGCTAAGCATCCACAGAGCGACAGGCCACGGAGATGCAAGTAGCAAAAGAAAGAAAGCAATTGACAAAATGCTTTCTCTTTTTTAAAGTAGTCGCCGAGGTTCGATAGGTCAGCGATAGGTTAGAGCAACAGCCGAGGCAGAACTATGTGGGAAAGCGCATCCCAGTTCGAAAGACAGTGTAGATGATCATGATCACATGGGAGTTTATCTTGTCCTCCTGGACAAGATGACAATAACGATTATTATTATTATTATCATCATCACTACCACCACCAACTAAGACTTAAACGGACTTATACAGGTCTTGCGAAAATTGCGCAGTTCACAATGAAGACCCATATATAGCAAAACTCACGGTTGGTTTTTTTTTTCTGAGAAACCCCGAGTTCATGCTTCGGTTACCCTTAAGGATCAAGTGGAATGTGGAT